CCAGGGCTGGTACCTGCGGTTATTCCACAGGCTAGTTAATAACATGTCGGGCAGGAAATCCAAAGTGTGGGATCATTTTGAGAAGGTGAAGGACGAACCCAAGGTGATATGTAAACTCATCTTCATTGGTCGACTACAAACATGACGTATCATCTGAAACATGGAAGTAGCTACATGTCCATTAGCCCACAGCGTCATTAACAGGCGGCTCGCTCAGTGTGTGACGTGCACTTGGAGATAAAATATAGGCCTATATTAGTGAAGGTTCATTAGTACGGTTTTGTATTTCTCTGTAATGTAGCACAGTGTTAACAATGTTACTGACACTATTCTTTCTCACACCTTCAACTCAAACCACCAAAAGATATCATTTAATAATTACATTAATATCATAAACATGCGGGAGACTAGTTGACTAATGGCTCTAAATGAAGACTATTGGTCGACTAGGAAAATTCGTAGTCGGAGGCAGCCCTAGGGCTACTTATCTGCCCCAGGATGATGAAACCATGAATAAGTTCACGTTCCTGTGAAGCCACTTGAAGAGCTTGTTATGCCTTGGCTAACAGAGATGATACAGTCTTTTACAGTGCTGAGAGAATTGATTATCCACAGCTGATGTGTCCACCTTGGAGTAAACTGCACTCTCCTACATCATTCATGTTCATACAGGAAACAAATTAATCCTTCAGATGAAGGAACCATGCAGCGTTTTAACATTCCAGTTTAGTGAGGTGGACAAATCACTGAAATGTTGCAGTTATTTCTAATACTGAGCGTTCTGGGTGCACTGAACAAATTGAAATAATAATTGGCACAGGTTTCAATGAAAAGCACTCGTCTAAATGTTTCAGAAACCCTCATATGGTTTTGGAAAAGCTCTCAAATTAATTTGTCTCGGATGGCTGACATCTACAAATTATAGAAATCATTTTGTTTCTGGGAGGTTTTCAGTTTGAAACTTTGTACAGGCTGCAGAAATCCAGGGATGGAAATGCTTTGTCCTTTACACAAACACACATAATGAGTGAGCCAGTAATGAAAGTATTCTCAGTTAAACAGCAGATATTCACTTCCCGGTGATTATATTTACACTGCATGTTGACTGAACTGTACACTTTGGTTTGTTGTCAGTGTTTCTGAACCAACACTTCAGACTGATATGAAACTATTTATCTCCAAACTATATCTGTCTTGAAAAACTACACTGAATAACAAACTTTCTTGTATGAAGACACGTTTAATGACCACCACAGTGAGAGGAGATGAGGTGGAAAGATAGGGATATAAATAATGGTTGATCCCTCTTTGGACAAGGATTAAAAGTGGTTAAATGCCAAATGCGTAGCTGTGAAACCGATGTGTACTCACATGTGAGTGGATGTGTTGGCCCATAGAATTACAAAGAGACTGCCCATGTGTTATTTTTCCAGCTGTTACTGTGTAATGGATGTGCACTCATGTGCAACAGCACATATTAAACCTTACTGGCGATTTGCCTTCATCTTCCCTCAGTGGGTGAACATGCCAAATTATAGATATTGGTCACCATACCACTCCCCAT